TTGCTTAGCTAAATGCCAAACTAAACAGCCTGTATCATTAATACCGTTAATATGTTCTAATTCACTATTTTTTTCAATCCTTGAATAAAATACAAATGTCCATGTATAACCAGCATCACAAAGGGAAAAATTTTATATCCCTCTGGCATTGGTTTGTTTTTTATTTTAAATGTATGCATGCTACGACCAGAAAACCGAACTATCATTTCATCAATAGAAACTCGTGTACTAGGAGTATATAATTTTTTAAATGTTTTTCAAAGATTTGAAGCCAATGGTTTGATTTTTGAATACCAATAAGATTTAGGTTCAGTTGGATTAGAAATATGAAGAAATCTCTTAATTTGTTGGAATCGATACAATGACATAAATTGTTTAATATTATGAACTGCCATCTTTTCGTTAGAGTTCTATAAACCCTCAACTGCATAAATTTTGTGAACACCCATATATATAACTAATGCAATCCACACTTTTAACTCCTTTAAAGTTAATGGAACTCACACACGTCCTCCTTCATAACCCTTAATTTGCTCATACTTGTTTGTATTTTCAACAATTATTTGTAATTGTTCATCACTAAAACATAATCGAAATAGTACAATTAGACTAATGGTACCTATTTGCATTTCATGTGGTAGTGTTGAATAACCATGATGATTAGAAAAGGTATGTAACAGCTCAAATTCAGGTAATTCTGGAAGGTTTGGTTTATTTCTAGCTTTATGACTAATTGCCTTTTTTTTACTTTTTTATCCGATTTATTTGCTTCACCCATATCATCATCTATTTCATTCATTATGCCTGATTTACTGGTTTCATTTAACCTACCTACCCGGCCACCTATCCTCTCACCCCTTCGGCCTTTTTTACTTTTTTCACGAGTTGCTCTAGTGTTTATTTCATTAATTTCTTCTTTACTCTTCTCAATAATTTCAATATTGGAAGCTCCTTCACCAAAATCACTAATTTCAATTGTTTGGTCTACAAGCGCATTTCTGTGATAATGCTCAAAGATTGCCAAGTACTTTGAGTCAGACACATTGTTGTTAGAAACATTATCATTGGTAATGTATGACATTTTTATTTTTTCTTTTAAATTATACTTTTATTCATATTAAAAAAAAATTTTTTTTTAATATATCGATATTTAATTTAAATGGTACTTCAAATGTTAGAGGTTTGTTGAACTTTACTGTTAGTACTAACGGCCAAGAGACTTTCTAGAACAATTGCTGTTGTGTATATGTACAATGTGGTACAAGATACTGGGAGGCTTTTATATAGTAAAATTTTCTAGTATTCCGGAAAATTTTTTGGTAATTTAAAATTTGGGGAAAATTTGACCCGAATATAGACTAAGGGATAATTTATATTTTTCTTTTTGCCAGACCAATTATTGGTGTATATATATTGATTAAGGAGTTTTTTGATAATCTTGTTGTTTGTAGCATATAGGTTAACTTGGATATGATACACATGTTGTTAATATATGATATTTGGCTAATTATTAGCTTTTTTGGGTTTAAATCTTTTATAAATATTTATACTATTTTCTTAGCTCTTAACTTTATTGTTGACTTTTTAAGTTTGCAATTTAGCCAAATTTCTAGAAATTGAATAATTTTATTTTCACTCTTCTTCTAGATCCACTTTTTGCCAAAAAAGATTGTTCTATTTTTCTTTTCTTTTTTGATGTTCATTATGATAAGTTTGGTTTTTTTTTATTAATTTGTATATTATTTAAGTTAAAGAAATCTTCTACTATTTTGGTAATTTTTTTTATTTGCTTTTTACTTGATGCAACCTATGTTGTATTATCTGCATATGCTATTACAGCTTATCTCTACTTTTTAACTTTTTGTATCATAGTCTCTATACTATTATTGTATAAAATGCACAATGTATAGTCTACACAGGTTGAATAAATGAATAAAAGATGAATAATAGGTAAATAACAGAAAAAAAAACTGCCATTATTTTACCCTATATCTGCCAAATAATGGCAGCATAACAGCAGCATAACA